CGGTGAGTGCTCACAGCACTAACTGAGGGAATTTATGAGGGAATTTAGCCAAGGTGGTAGCTAAAGACATGTTCAGCAGCTTCTCAGCACACACAGACACAAGTCCCTAGTAGCAGCATTGCCTGGTCCACCTTCTAAAGCACCGTCTAAATGTAGTAGCACAATGCTTATTTAATATCTAAACAATCAAAAAGATCAAGGTCTAAAGATGCAAGACCCAAAAGAAGTCTCCAAGGACATTACTAAGAACAAGAAGTTACATATAATTAAAGACCAGCAAATACATATTTCATATTTTCTTTAGTTTAAAGGGTAAAATACAATGTATTAGTAAGTTCATGGAATTCTACCTCCTTTCATAAAGAAGTTGACTTACCTAGTACAGTTACAGTTGTTGTCGACTGTGTATTTCCAAGTGGGAATGTAACTGCCTTGCAAATATATTCTCCTGCATCAGAAAAGCTTACATTTTTTAAGATGATTGTTGCATCAGTAAGTGAGTAGTTTTTAAATGCCACTCTTCCTTGGTATTCTTCTTGAACAGATATTCCATATTCAGGATGATGAACAGCAATAGTCTGCGCAGTTTTACCATATATCTTCTCCCAAGAAACTTGTGTTATTGTTTCACTTATATCAATTATGCATTTCAGTGCAACCTTCTTCCCCCAGACTGCTGTCACATGTGGATCAACAACTGGTCCAGCTAAGGCACCTAAAAACAAAGCAATCATTAGTTGGTACACAAGAAGGTTATGGCTCTAAGTATTCACAATAAGCCTTCTTCACTAATTAGCTGGCCTTTTTAAAAGGGTATTCCTACTTTCTTCCTAGTAACTGATTCACAGCAGTGTAGAAACACTACAGAAGCATGCTTCAAGCAAAAACATCAAAAAAAAACCCCAAAACATCTAATAAAAGCTAGGTATAGATCAACCATTTCTCAGAGAATACTATCACTAACACAAAGCTTCCTCTAAACATGACCTGACAGTTGTGCAACTGGTGTTAACAGTTTTTCAAGAATTTTACTAGATACAAGCATTGTGTCTATTCAGATTTACCAAAAAACCAGCAATGAGGCATGGTACTTTAGCAGTCTGATTACTGATCCAGAGTATCAGGTAAAAATTTAGGCTAAATTACTGCACTTATTTTTACTTTCAAAACCAGACTTAATATAAGACTACTTAAGGAGAAAGGCGTAAGTGAAACTGCTTCCATTTACTATACCAGTAAGTACTTAAAAAGCAAAGCAACAATTAAAAAACACACAAAACCCCCTATCAAAACTCCACAAACTACTCCATGTCAATAGTGATAATCAATCCAAGAATTCAGTTTCCACTTTCCTATTCTAGTTTCTACTGAAGACATGTACCATCATGCATGTCAGTCTGCCTGCTATGCTATAGCTCACTGTCTTCATGATCTTCCTTCACACAGTACATATGCAAGAGTAGGCATAATCACATTCTTGCTTAAGTTTCAATGTATTTCTGTGTAATACCTAAAACACCTTCCACAGTAGCAACTACATTCTGAACTCAGCATTTTACACCACCCTCTTTTAAAAAAGGAACTCCAGTAGGACAAAGCAGTTCAATAACTCACAGGTTCACAATTTCTTTTGCCAAACAATTTCACTAGTTAGTTCTCTTGCAGCAAACCAACATGATGAAAAAGAACCAAAGTGTTAGTTCACACTGTATTTCTTTTTACTGTGCTTCAGTTTGAACAGAGCCATTTCAAATGTTCTGGTTGTCTCTTAGTCAGTACTCAACCTGTTACTGAAGGAAGTTCACCCATGGTACAAGATTCAAATCTAAATTTTAGCAGCCCCACTTTCATAAGCATGAAGAGGTCATTTAAGTTGGGACATGAACTGCTCTTTTGCTCACCCAGATCACACAGAGAAGCCATATGTTCAGGAAAAAATTCTCTATATGCCTTTATGTATGAGTCCATTGTCAAAAGCTTTCCATTTCCCATCAATTGATTTTTCACTGTTCAAACCATAATTGAGTCAATGAAATCACTCAAAAAAGAGACTTTAAGATTCAGCTATGGATTTCTTCAGCATAAAACTACTGACTAATGTCAATAGTATGAAAATATTAAGTTGTACAAATAAATCAAACTAAGCCAAAACTTCAGACCAAGTTTGATGTGCCAGTCAATAAAAGAGGCTGGTGAGGAAACAAAAAATAGCCAGAAAACTAAAAGTTAGAAGTTTCTTATAGAGAATATATGCCACAGCTAACACACAAGTGGTGCAAGAACATTAGGTCTAGTCACCTCAAGACTTTTAACTAACATGTTACAGACACTGGAAAAAGGGCAACTATTTGCACACTAACTGAAATGTGCAGAATTCTGCCCAAACTTTTTGTCCACTTGCCATTGCTATGTTTAAGCATAAGGTGGAGTGTTCCTTACAAAGTATTTGACTATTGTTTTCTACCTTATTTATAAAGCTCACAAGCTGTATTTCTGGAATGTATTTCAGAGTGTACAGGAAACACATTCTGTAATATCATTTAAATGAAGAAAACGACACTTTCATTCAGAAATATTTATCTATTGCATCTTAACCTATACTAAACTTTAACATAATGATCGGCCGTATATAACTCCAACAAACTTAGTATAGCAAAGCCCTACAAGTGAACTTATGAAAACTGCTCAGACTTCTGGGAAAGCAACAAACTGAACTGGAACAACAGTTAGTTGAACACACAAACTCTTTGGCTTCCTTTTATTTATTCATTTTTGGACAACTCTACTCCCAATAACTGAAGGCTAAAGCTACCTAAGGATGACCAGATTACATTTAAAAAGTCAGTACTCAACTGACAGTTACCCCTTTTTGGAAGATGTGAAAATGAAACCATTTTTCCACCAAGGAATACTTCTGACAGCTCAGTTGTGACATGAGAACACTGTGTTCTCACATGAACTGCATGAGTATTTTTCAGAAGTGAGACTTTTTCACTGCTGCTACTTTCAAGATCTAGAGCCTGAACTGAGCAGTACACATATATATTGACATATATATATACATAAACACATTTGCAGCTATAGAATGTTGATCAGTTACAGCTTCTTCATTCACCTTCTCCAGAAAGGAAGTAGAGCCAATAGATAATTACTCCGAATTTTGCATACTTATCTTCTGACATGATCAGACTCTGCTGACAAAATTTAAAAAAAAAAAACTCATCTGTGCCAATCATTTAACTTGAACTTACTTTATATAGTTTACATAGCAGTGTATATACTCCAAAGTGTTTCAAGTTTTAGAAACAGTTTCAACTTTAAGTGCTAATCACCACATCTTTAATTTGCAGTAGTATCTCTAGTTTTCATCTCCACCCAGTTATTATTTAACTAGCTTTAGTTGCAGAGCAATCCAGCTAATAGTTCAAACTAGCCAGCTAATGACTATGCTGATATTCAGGACTATCCAGGACTCCTGACTCTAAGGTAAGTATTTGCTTTGACATAGAGACTTCCACTCAAGAGTCAGTATTTTGCTCAGAGATTGTACTTGAATACTGATCTACATGTCTACTCCAAAATAAACTTTTAGACGCTTACAAAGCACAAGTTTCTGAAGAACAAGATACTTCAAGGCCACATTATTCAGCTCCCTAACTGATGCAAAGTACTGGCACATAGGACATACATTTACTGTTCTAATAAAGCCTAGCTGTCCTCTTGAAATCTAGTACTGAAATCTGACCTCCTCTGCTTCACTTAAGTCCTTATCATCATTGTCAATAAGCCTTAAGGACACACTTTGTATTCACCTACTAATGAAGAGCTTATTTTGTAACTTCAATATAAACACAGTTGTGTGAAGTTTTCTTAAGATTTTTTTTTTTTTTTAGATTTGTCAAAGTTTTTACAGATCTTCTTTACCTTTTCTTTTTGCTCACTTGCAGGATGTAAGACTGCCCTGGACTGTTCCGTGTGCAGCCTGATGAGACTACCATCTCAAGTGCCTTGACATGATTCAATTTTAGCTAAGTCTCTAAGTACTAACTGATCCAATCTATGCTGCCAATATGTCACAGAATCATCAAGGCGGAAGAGATCTTCAAGATCATCATGTCCAGCCATCAACCTAATACCACCATAATCACCCCTAAACCATATCCCCAAGCACCACATACAGATGCCTCTTGAACGCTTCCAGAGATAGTAGCTCCACCACCCTGGACAACTTACTCCAATGTCTAACTACTCTTTCAATAAACTTTTTTCCCCCCAGTATCTAATCTGACACAAGTTAAGCAGGTGGCTACAACTCCTAGTTGATCTACTTGACACATGTATTTTCCAGTCTATTTGCAAAGATCCTAAGACTCTCAAACTATTTCAATTCACACTGCTAGTTCCATGCAGACACACAGCTCAGCTTCTCAAACTGCAACGGTACCTCACTGTCCCAAATTTTAACAACTGAAAGGACTTTTTATAAAGCAGTCATTTCCTATGCATGCGTCCACACTTAGTCATTAACATCACAAGACAGGTGGATCTCAAAGTCTTAAGATAAAATAATATCAAAGAACAACAATGGATTATCTCATTTGGAAGTGCAAGGATGTGAAGTATAAGCTGTTGCTCTGCATTTTTCCCCCATAAAACACCTTCCAGAGGAATGCTTTAGTCCTTTGAGTTCTGACACCCTTTCCCCCCTCTCCAAAATCAATGGCCTTCTCTCATTTCATTTCCCCCCATCTTTCATACCACAACACAGACCAGATTCCAAGGTGCAGTACTGCAAATGTATCTCAGCCTAAACTGCATAAGCTATTTTATTTCAGACAAACACTAGATTTCGTAATTTTTCCAAACCAAATTTATATTGCATTTACATTGCTTCATTCCCTCTCCAGATTCAGACCATTGCAACAATCTTACTTTTAACAGCAAGGCACTGATCATTCTCACTTTGTAAAGAAGTTTCAAGAGTAAACAAAACAAACAACCCTAAGATTCATTAGGCATTAAAAGCCACAGAACTAGGTGCTATCAAATACTGATCATAATAACAGAAGATGCTAACTAGTAATTCTAAAACTTCTCTCATGGACCAAAAAAGAGATATTGAAGAAATATAGGGTCTTCAAAGTATGTCAACCTTCTTAAAACAACGAAGTATTAATGCTATGAAATGACTTTCCACACTTCCAGGCTTGTTATTTGTTGCAATAAACAGCAGATGTAGACTACAGATATGGAGCAGCCATGCACAAGTCTAATTATCAAAGCACTGCATTTTGTTACCTGCTTAATAGCACACCTCTGGCAAGACAGAACACCACACTGACACTTTCTAGTCCCTAAATTTCCAGAAGCTGTCAACTATTTTCAGAAGACAATAAGCCAAACTGCACAAGAGTAGAAAAATGAAGTTTCCCCCCTATATCAGCAAGTTACTCAGCTCATGGGTATATCTGGTCTTAGCACACGCTCACAGTAGGAAACTAAAGAGTTTCAATCAAGAATGAAGCAGAACAATAACATCTCATTTTACAGACAGCAAGTTACTACGTCAGCAGAGCTTCCCATGAAACACTCTTAGGGTCAGGCTAAGCATTTCTGTTAGGTCAGTTCAATTTCAGCTGACATCAGAAAGCTTAGACTTACGCTTGCAGTCCTCCTCCTGTGCTGGCACTCATCAGGTACCTAAGAGACCCCACTCTACAAAAACTCACTTGCTCTCTTCCTAATTTAAACTTCTGAATTACCTCAGTCGATCACAAG